CTGGTCACATCTTTGCTTGGAATTCTGGTTTCACGTTCACGGTCCTGCAGCAGAGTTAATGTTTGTGTCTCCCTATTAACCCAAATACTATCTACAGTTATTGGACACAAACCATGTTCTACCCTCCACTCATTTATCCTCACAATGCTATCAAGTAGGTATCATTATTATCATCTTACAGATAAGGAAACTGAGGCCCAGAGGGTGAGCCACTTGCTCAAGGTCACACAGCTAAGAAGTGACAAAGCCAGCGCTTACATGCTTAATAACAGCTACTACCAGATGATTCTGGAAGGAACACCAGGTTGGGAGCATTTTTACCTCCCGCTGCCTTGCACACCCCAGGTGTTAGATGGGCAGAGTGTTGCCTCTCTGTGCCAGGCAATGGCTCAAACCTGCCTTTCTTGTGGTCCCGGGAGCCCACTGCCTAAGAAACAAAATTCTTGGCTGGACACGGTGGCTCACGCCTGTAATCCCAGCACTTTGGGAGGCCGAGGTGGGCGGATCACATGAGGTCGGGAGTTCAAGACCAGCCTGACCAACACGGAGAAACCCCATCTCTACTAAAATTACAAAATTAGCAGGCGGTGGTGGCACATGCCTGTAATCCCAGCTACTTGGAAGGCTGAGGCAGGAGAATCACTCGAACCCGGGAGGCAGAGGTTGCAGTGAGCTGAGATCGAGCCATTGCATTCCAGCCTGGACAGCAAGAGCGAAACTCTGTCTCAAAAAAAAGAAAAAGAAAAGAAAAGAAAGAAAAGAAACTAATTCTTAGAGAAACTCTGTGAGTTCAGCATGCCTTGGAAAGAACTTTATAATTATATAGGCAATTCGTTCAGTCATTTGAAAACTGCCAATGCCACGGCTGATGATAATTCTGGAGGCTTGGCGCATATTAACACCAAAATGTCTCCTTTTTGAGGGTAGAGGCAGAAATAAGGAAGCTAAACATCCCCAGTAAATAAAAACTCCCCTGGAAACTATGGAAAGAAGACTTTTAACGGTTCAGGAGTGAATTGTGCCTCTCTGCCCCACTTCCCCCAGAGAACAGGCAACTAATCTAGGAAATCAGATTGGTTTACGTCTTCCTTTAATCCAGGATTCCAACGGCCCTGTGTGCCTGAGGCAGAAAAGATTGCCTAAAATGTTGGTTAAGAGACTGGATGAGAATCTGTCACTTTCTCTCCAGGGGAATCTGGGCAATTGGGGGACAGAGGGGCAAACTAGCTGCAGAGGCTCCCAAAACAACGTTGCAATTGTCCTTTCAGCCTGGTGATAAATATGCAAGTGGGACACTTTGTAGAATTTCCCGAAGGGCAGAGCTACCAGCCTCAGGCAAATTGTTCCCTCCCATTTAACCCCACCTGGCCCAGAAGAGCCTCAGGCCAGTTGACTTTGAACCTCACCCTCACACTTACCGCTAGGCTACCGGACCGCACAGTATCGGCACTTCTTTTTTAAATAGGTCTTTCCTTTGGATCCCAGCTGAAGCCTCAAACCTCAATTCATAACCAAATGCGCTTCAGCCCACCCCGGAGTCAAACTCTGGGAATATGCAATGTGCACAGGGGAGGGGTGGCCTCTCCCAGGAAAAAGAGGACTGCTTTCTCAATCCACAGCAAAGCCCAGGCTCTCCCTCCCCACCCTCTACTCCCAGTCTGGGTGGCGGGAGGGCACGGGAGAACCCTGGAATTACCACCTACACCGGGGACCTGGGGGTGCACAGCGTCGCACTGCGGCCCACCAGGCTAGAAAGTGGGGTCAAGTGATCATAAACCGCCACCCACTAGCTCCAGCTGGCTGAGTCAGTGGAATGGGATTCCTAAATCTTGGTGGGTAGCTGATACCTTTGAGCAGACCATCATGGAAGTTCTGCCCGAAAGCGCAGGTGGGCGTCCAGAATGTTCGAGGGGGCCCTGAAAAGCGACCATAGATGGGAGCAAACACTCCAATCCACTGGTGTAAGGGCGCTCGAGAAATCGATAGTTGAACCCTTTTACCCATCAACTTAATTCAAGATTGGAAAGATAACAGACCTAAAGTGCCGTGTACAAGCCTCCTGTCTAACAGACACTGGGAACCGCTCGTGTTGGGAGAAGCCCACTATGTGTCAAGCTGCCGCCCATATCCAGAACATAAGCATGGGGGGTGAACTCTCAGAACCGCGGCGCCAGGAACTGCGTTTCAGAGGGTGAAATTTCTGAGAGCGCGGGGGCTTCCTTTCCGACCTCGGGAACTCCGACGGCCTTCGTTATTCTACAGGCCTGGCGCACAGAATGGGCTGCTGGCGGAAGGCAGCGATGCCAGTGCCTTTTCCGCAGTTCCAGAGGCAGCACTCGGTATCAGGCGGGGCCACCGGGTGGACAGAGCCCACTCTGGGAACCGGCCGCCCCTGCGCAGCAGCTACCCTGCAGGCGGGAGTACGCGCCGA